GGACCTTGGGTTCAGTCTCTAGCACCACACACAGACACAGACACAATTTGATATAAACTATTTTTGAAAGCTTCTTCCTAAATAATCTAGGGTACACTGTGTTGCATTCAGAACAAAGCATACGGCGTGTGTTCCTAGTTGGGGACTGATGGGTGAGAGTAAGAGGAAACGAGTTCAAGCTAGTGACAGGGGACATCGTAGAAACGTCACAGTGTATTTTAATCACAAAAAAGGAGTGGACATTTCAAGGAGGTAAATGTTTTTTCTGTTCTTTTTTTATTTTGTTTGTTTTTTAGAGTCAGGTTCTCTCTATATAACTCTGGCTGTCCTCGATTTCACTCTGTAGACCGGGCTGGCCTTGAACTCACAGAGATCCACTTGCCTCTGCCTCCTGAGTGCTGGGATCAGAGGTATTTGCCACTACTCCCCAAGGAGTTAAATGTTAAGATAGGTCATTTATATTTCTTAATAAACTGACAAGAGCCATACACTGTTATATTTTAATTCTTGTTCTTGCAACTCAGTAGAATTACTTTATCATCTGAGTAAGGACAGTTGCTGGTTTGTTTGTTAAGACAGATCCTCACTTGTATCCTTGGTTGGTTTAGAACTCAGAGATCCAGTTGCATCCATAATGCTGAGATTAAAGCTGTGTGTCACCACACCTAGCTCCTTTTTTGTTTTGGGGGTTCTTTTTGTTTGTTTGTTTGTTTGTTTGTTTGTTTTTCGAGACAGGGTTTCTCTCTGTAGTTTTGGAGCCTGTCCTAGATCTCACTCTGTAGCCCAGGCTGGCCTCGAATTCACAGAGATCCGCCTGGCTCTGCCTCCCAAGTGCTGGGATTAAAGGCGTGTGCCAATACGCCTGGCTTAAAACTTAATTATTTTTTGGGGGGGATAATTTATTTTTATTTTGTATGTATGGGTGTTTTGCCAGCATGCAGAACTCCCATGTGGGTGCTGGGGATTAAACCCAGGTCCTCTGGAAGGGTAGTCAGTGCTCTTAACCCTGACCCATCTCTCTAGCCCCCAAGATTTTTTTTTTAATTTAATTTTGAACCGTGTTATCTCTTTAAAACACTTGGAGATGTAATTTAATTGGTAGAGTGCTTGCCTCGAGGGTAGGGGACCTTGGGTTCAGTCTCTAGCACCACACACAGACACAGACACAATTTGATATAAACTATTTTTGAAAGCTTCTTCCTAAATAATCTAGGGTAC